GCTACACGCGCCGGAGTCGAAACAAGCATGCGGTACATCGCTTGTGACGTATGCGTCAGGCGATTCCAGAATCAACGGATCAGACAGTCGTCATCAAGGAGGTCAAACAACCTCAATTGACAAATTTAGGGCAAACTTGGTGGCTTCAGGGTATATTGGCGCCTATGATGCGGACGCCAGGAGGTTCGTGTCGAGCGGATGTGATACTCATGTTCAGGAGGTCAAACTACCCCAGAGGACAACTGTTTAGTCGATTCTGCCCACGGAGAAAAGAGTTGTTCAGTATTTGGCCTGATTTAGGATGATTGGGGCAGTAAAGGGTAAATAGTGCCTAAGAGTCTCGGAAGAGAAGCGCTATTGCTGGCATTAGGGTCTTTTTCTGCTGCAAGTAAGAGCAAGCTTGACAAAACAACAGATAGAAGTGTTTTCTGGACTTACAGAAGATGTTCCGAAAAAGAACAAAAGATGGAGCTTGTCAAGAAATTGAACCCATGACCTCACATCTACGAAGCAACTTACATATCCACTCCTCCATCGACCACGTCTTTGTCTGTACACGAACTTAACTTGTGCTGAGCAAAAGAAGGATTAGTGAGTGCTGTGCTGGAACACCCCCCCAACCCCTTCTAGAGAGTCATTCGGCAAAAATTCTGAGCAAATTTAGTTCAGCGTTTCCAAGACGGACGCGCATCGGCGAAGTACCTGCTGAGCGCTTCACCGGTGAAGAGCGATTCGCGGCGGTTAAGGAGGATTTTTTCTCCCGGTTGTTCCACTTTTCGCGTTTTTGTTCCCAGTTGCAGCATGTGTACATACCCCACCCTCAACAGCACAGCTTTGGAGGACGGAACGGGGGAGAGGAGCGAGGTCGTATCAAGCCACCTCTCAGAAGGCGGGGGGAGGGCATTCGCATGGACCGGGCTAAAATCTCCATTTAAAGGCAGTTGGGGCACGATAAATCCCAAGACGACTAGGATCAATACTCCTGGCAGGATAGAATTCCGTGACACTGGCCAGGCGCTGCATAGCGGTTTCCCCGAGGGAGGTGCCCTTATAAGGGCCCTATCAAGGCCAGCAAAATTTACGTCGCCAAAGCCTCCGACAGCCCCGCGCCCAACAGAAATGGACGACCGTTCCTGACGCTCGTATTCATTCATTTGCTAAGCAAATTATGAAGCGAAGGTATTGGTATGAAGCGGCCATGATGCTGCATGGAGAGTACACACATGCAGCCGTATCTTCGGTAGCGGTGGTGTTATTAAGATGTCCTACGGGAAACATCGTGCCGAAATCGATTACACCAAGTGACATGAGAACGGAGGCTTTTCTTCTTTTAGGATTGTTGAACCGCTTCACTCCGTTAGCTTGTCGGCCATTTCCCCCACTATACAGCGCCCTACTAGTTATTTAGGCTAATTGGGGGAACCATCGTGCCAATTGCCCTCAGTGATATGCCCTGTTCTTGAATGTACCACCAAAAACGGGAGAAATGTCCAAAATAGAAGAAAATACTTGTTCGTCTTGCCACTGAAAAGTTAAAGCTCGTTACATGAACAAGAGGGGCTGTCCTTTTCCGCTCTTTTTCGTACTTTTCAGGCAGCCTCCCCCCACACCCTTCCAACAAACAAAACTATCTAACCAAACAAAACTACATACACACACAGACACACACACAGACAACTAGAACAGAGCATGTTATCGGGCACGAGATAAGCAATATTGTGAAAATACAGAAATAAATATAATGAAGGTTTATTAAGTGAAAAGCCACTCACTTGTGCCGATAAATCTGCAATGTCGAATGAACCGCCTGGTCCATCGCAAGCAGTTATTTCGATGGTTAATTTACTGGCGTCTACTCGATTGATGAGTGCCCTCAAGTCCTTAGGCATCTCGTTTATGGGTATGATCAGAGCTGGAGTGAGAGCCCCATTGTGCTGAAAAGATGTCCCGGCAATATTTTTCATGTATGTCCCTTTGCTATAACAATTTGAACAATTGCGTTAGAGGAATTAAGAAGTTTCAGAGCTTACCGATAATTTTCACGACTTTTTTCTACTTCAAAACAGAAAGAAAAATAGAGCAGGCGATATTGGCTGCCTATGGCGTTACTATGTCCTTTCCAAGTGCAAAGTAATGGTTCGCAGCTGCAGTAGCGTGCCGCCTTCTCTGCCCAAAGTGCAGTGGAACTGGAATGGAGGGCATCCTGCCTCGGTGTCTCCTTCATACTCGCGCTATCCTCATGAAGCGGCACTTGCTTTGATACCCGAGGAAACACGCAGTCAGCCGTAGAGAACGAACTAGAAGTGAGAGGGCGCAGATAAGCAGCGCATTTGGCTACGGTTAGGCGTACGGCAGCACAGACGGAGTAAGGGGGTTTGTGACACTACCCTCCAGCCCGCATGCGCACACTTTTGACTGGAGAAACTGGCAAGTTACTGCAGCTGTGGACCCACTATTCACCCCCTCCCCACACACACGGCAAGGATCAGCATCAATGGAGGTAGCTGTGGCCCCACTCTCCCCATGCATGGCTGGAACCAGCATCCACGGAGGTGAGTTCACAGTTTGTCTTCAGTTACGGATGTTACAATTACCTTGCCAATTACTGGTATTACATTTTTTCAAATATTCTTAACAACTCAGATTTCCGAAAAAGCCATTTAATCCAAACAATCAAAGCAACCGTACAACCGCAATGAATACAGAATCTCAAAAAAAACTGGTGTATGTCCGTGGGGATTACCCATTCTCTGATCACAAATATGGTGGTCCCTTTCAACCTCGTCGCTATTACGCACCAATTTTTCACCACCCTTCTTTCATGAAAACCTGCAGTGACTTACGTTAAGGGGTTATTTGACATCCGTATTACGAATATGATATCAGTTTTCAGCGTCGGCGCAATTTAGCGCTTGATGCGAGCAGCCAAAGCTTCTTCTTCCACCAGTTGTGGCATTCTGAGCCGCCACAGGTGGTTGGGAAAAGTCGCCGTGGTTTGGCTGCAACCCACGCCACTTCACACGCCCTTTTGTTGGCTTGGGCAATGATTCTACCTGCACCGTGAGACCTATCTCGGGTTGCAAATAAATAGATAATTGAATAAATGAACACCACATGAAGTTAGTTAAGCTTTTAGATGTTGCCACTAACCTCTTTCAAAGCATACGCTAAGTCTTCCGACGAGAACATCATCGAACTACCATCATGAACAACAGCTGATCCTTCACTAAGTATACGGTAATGTTCTAAGGCGAACTGTAGCGCCCTTAGACATAATTTGCGTCTAGCGACCACAGCACTACTGAAAAAGTGTGATCTTTTGTTATGAACCTCAATCTACGTTGGGGAAGATGACATGAATCTCTCGCGAAACATGAAAGGATAAGTGGGAAGGGTCACCACGCCCGCAGTCGCACTCTACATCCATTCAGAGTCGTAGTGGCTTCCTGAATGGGCTGGCCGCAGCGCGTGCCAGGAACTATTTGCTTTTTCCAGGCTAATTTAGTCATTTTTTTCCACTTTTGTGAAGATAAGGAGCTAATCTGGGAAAAAGTAGCCAAACAGGCCAAGTTGCGAAACAACGGACTAAATTTAGCCTTGGAAAAAGGCAAGTAGGTTCCATGGCACGCGCTGCGTGCCGTTAACGACCGCCCTAGTCAATCAACTGCCGTGGATTGACGACCGGTAAGGTTGGATGATAAAGTTTCTCGCGCCCCATGTTTGACTCCTCCGCACTTTCGTTGCATGGAGGGTTATTCGTCATCACGGTAGTTCGTGACGTGTACAGTGGAGGCCAAAAAAAAAAAGTCATTTTGCCTCCATGACTTTCAAGGCGCTATAAGTTACACTTTATTAAATTTTTATCGGACATTTTTACTACCATATTAAAGAGCACATCAAATACTATAATGATACTCCGCCGCAGCCTTCTGGAGGAGCGCCATCGAGAGATTCGGCCGCGCGAAAGTGAGTGGGTACCGGAGTTGAGCGAGATCGTTGATTTCTCCGCCACTGTAGACCACCCTGTTGAGCTCTGCCCGAACTAGGTAATTGAGTGGTTCAGGTCAGGACATACTTCATATTTACACCTTCATCAGTTACGAAACGCCCTTCCATTCGAAGTAGGCGGGAGTTTTTCCAAAACCCTTCGATTCCATGTGGTGGCACCCAAACCTGTAGCAGCACAAGGTCTCCAAGAAGGTACGGGCGACCACATGTAGGGAGGATATCCTTCTCGAGTTACTTGATGTAACCGCCAGCGCTCACCTTCAGTCGGGGTCTACAAAGAAAATATCGGTCTTCCCATTCCAGGTACGGCCGGTCCACACCATCAACCCGCGCCTGGTGATAATGGGTTGAAGACTGACTTGCCTGGGCCGCGTAGCGACGTTGCCGGCAAGCTGCTCCGATGTTGAGGTCTGCAGATCAAGCCATGAGTACTATGTCTCCAGAGATAGCCTATTCCATGGTGTTCCTATTCAAGGAGGTTCCGGCCAGCTGTTTTGCGCGGGGGCCTACGTGATCAAAGGACCGCTTCTATCCACTCAGGCCGCGACTGGAGATGACTTATATTCTTGCGATGTTACACTGAAGCCTTGAATGGGCCGGCACAGCCGGCTCCCTTGCTATAGAGGTGAAGATTTGGTATCTTCCGCTTTTTCGGTACTAATATCTACTTTCCTCCTGTCTGCGGCCCTGACGAAAACATTCGCTCATACTGTGTACTCGGGCCGGAGATGAAATCTCTTTTTTTGGCCCCCCCCCCCTGTACATGATACTCTTTCACCACACTAGCTATCACTCACCCACCTTGCATCTGCAGGCCACAATGTCGCACAATTACAGTGCAAAACCATGTAGTTCATGGTGATGGTGCATACCTCTAATCTTCAGGTTGGTTCGCTATTGAGATATTTACGAAAAAGTCGTGGCTACGAACTTATGCACCAACCTAATGAAAGTCAGTATTCTGAACCACCCAGACGAATCTTGTACCATTTTTCCGTCCGCGAGAATAAAGTTTCGTTTGCCTGGGTGGGGGCCTCTACGGGATTTAATCTTGGAAAGTGCGCGCAGTGAATGTGCCGCTTGTCACCACACCAGCTCGCTCCGTGCTCTTCATCCCCTAAAAAGTTGCCTGAGGCGGTGGTGATGTAGTGGCAAAAGGCACGCATACCACTCGCGCGGTCCGGATCCAAATCCCCGACCGAACCCGCTCAGGCCAACCAAGCCTTCTACCCTTCGGGGACGGTGAATTGGTACCAGATTCGTCTGGGAGGAGAAAAACACTGACTTCATCAGCTGATCAGCGCAAGTCATTGCATAGCCACATCGCACTCATTAAGCTACATGCCATTCTGAAACGAAGTAAAATGCATGCTGCATCCCACAAAGGGTAACGGCGAAGACTTTATTATTGCTCTCTAAAAAATCCCCAGTCTCAGCGTTATAAAATAATGCAAAGAACTTACTCGTCACGAGGACCTCGTAGACAGTCCACAGCCTTCTCGTTCGTTGGGGTTCCTATGTACACACCACATTGTATCTATAGACTATTTTGCTTTGTACATTGACCTCCCAGAAATTTGTCAGCAATTTCACCTGAAATGACGCAATTAGCATGAAAATATTGGGATTCTTAACGAAACTTCGGCACTCTAAAGGTCATGGGAGAGCGAGAGAGAATCGTGACTTCAGCCCGACCGCCATTCATCGGACGAACTCCAATAACATCGACGTTTTCGCCGCAATCACTACATGGTGTTGCGCTTGACTATCGCCTCTTATTGTACGTGAGGGTGTCTCCCTTCGGCCAGCCCGCCATCTGGCCCCTCATCAACACGCTCAGTGTTTCTTTGCCTCTCGCTTCTTCGCGTATACGTCCAGCAATCAAAACCAAGAAAATAACTTCTTATCGAGATTTTCTCAACGCTCTTTTTTCCTACAGACAGGTCTTTCAGTACTCACA